ATGTTATTTCTTTTTAATTATGTTTTTATGTTTTTAGGTTTGTTATTAATATATTCTAATTAATTTTAATTTTTAAGCATTAGGTAGGACCCATGAGATGTAGCGGACTGATGCTTTAGCAGCGTGCAGAGTTACTTCTATTTTCTTATTTTTCTTTTATTCATTTTCTTTTTTCTTTTTCAGAATAGATCATCAAGGTTCATCTCTGGTCGAATGCGTCATCGCCTGGCACGATTCATCATCGATTTTTACGCGGTTACGGGTAGGATAGGAAGAACACTGGCGTGCGTGCCGGCGTGCACAAGCGTGGGTGTTCTCGGGCGCGATTATACCTCGTTTGATTGCTCGTATCGAAAACGCGAATTTAGAGTAGAGTCACCGTTTTTCTAAAACTCACGTGAATGTACGCGGACGCGACTTAAAAGTCCTACCGGGGATTTCGTTTAAATCTGCTCGAATATTCGATTAGATTACCTCGCGAACGCGTTTTTTTAGAGTAGAGTCACCGTTTTCCGAACACTTACGTGGGTGTCCGGGCGCGATTAAAAGTCCTATCATGGACTTCGTTTTAGTGTTGAAATTCGGGGTGCGCGAACGGTTTACCTTGTAGTGCTGTACATAGCTGGCTGATGTTATGACAATCCTAATGTTTGGTAGCGGGGCGGAAATCCCGACAAATATCATGGAAAGTCTAAATACCGGTTAGCATATGTCACTTTGGATTTCAACTTAGAGTCACCGTTATTCTAACACCCGCGTGGGTGCTCGCGTGCGCGATTAAAAGTCCTACCGGGGACTTCGTTTTGTTTGCTCGAATATTCGATTAGTTTATTTAGAGTAGAGTCATCGTTTTTCGAACACTTGCGTGGGTGTCCGGGCGCGATTAAAAGTCCTATCATGGACTTCGTTTTAGTGTTGAAATTCGGAGTTCGCTTCGGATTTCAACTTAGAGTCACCGTTATTCTAACACTCACGTAAGTGTTCGCGTGCGCGATTGAAAGTCCTACCGGGGACTTCGTTTTATTTCTTCGACATTTCGATTAGATTACTTCGCGAATTTGGATAGAACAGTAGAATCTACGTAATTATAACACACGTGAGTGTCGCGAACGCGATTAATGCGCTTTGATTGTTCGAAATTCGGATGCACGAATTCAGATGTGCTTAATAATCCCTTATGCCTGAGGCGGAGGGTGTCGAACGGTTAAGCTTTCTGTAAGCGGAGTCCCTGTAGCTAAGGCTAGATACTTCCTGTTAGCTTTGTCCCATGCCCAAGATATCCGAAGCGGAAGGCATAAGGGTCGGTATCGCGGAGCGCGAATTTTAGAGTAAAGTAGAGTCACCGTTAGCTCGTGGGTCTCCACATGCAGCAACCTCCACGTGGTGAGACCTGGATCGTTAATACTTGCAAAGTTTAATTGTAAATTTTTAAATGCAAGTATTAACGAACGAATAGCTGCATATTGAATTACTTTTCCAATATCTATTCAAACTAATTCCAACTAAATATTAACATATTTTCATTTTATATAGCTTATAATACTTCAAAAGAAGAAATATAGCAGAAATCTATTCTACAAAAATACTCAGAGAAACGAAAAGGAAATTTCTCTATCACACTTTAATGTCCGCTGTCATTTCTATTTTTTCTTATTTATTATCAATAATTATTCTTTATAAATCTCGGGTGGGACCCATGGGAGGGGCCTGTGGGTGAGGGCTTCTGTGCGGGCTGCTGTCTCAGCATCATATAGAATGTTTCTCTTGTCTTATCTTTTTGGGGCTCTCTATTCTTCTCTTTTTGGGGCTCTCTTTTCTTTCTCCGGCTCTCATTTCTATCTCATATTTTTCTTTTTCAATTATGTTTTCAATTGTGTTATTATTATGTTATTTCCTTTTTATTATGTATTCTTAATATATATTTATGTTGTTTCTTTCTAATTATGTTTTTAATTATGTTTATTTTCTATTTATGTTATATATATATTATGCTTTATTTTATGTATTTTCTTTCTTTCTCTTATTTTCTGCTTACTTTCTTCTTTTCCAGGATAGATCATCGAGGGATAGGTTCATCAGCGACCGGATGGTACATCGAATGGCAAGATTCATCATCGATTTCTACGCGAATACGGGAAGGATAGGAAGAACACTGGCGCGCGTGTCGGCGGGCACAGGCGTGGGTGTTCTCGGGCGCGATTAATCTTCGTTTGATTGTTCGAATCGAAAACGCGAATTGTAGAGTAGAGTCATCGTTTTTCTAACACTCGCGTGGGTGTTCGGTCGCGATTAAAGGTCCTACCGTGGACTTCGTTTGATTTCTTCAAAATTCCGATGGGGGTACTTCGCGAATTTCGGCTTAACAGTAGAATCTACGTAATTATAACACACACGTGAGTGTCGCGACGCGATTAGTATTTCTAAGGAGTGCGCTTTGTTTGTTCGAAATTCGGAAAGCACAAATTCGAATGTGCTTAATTATTCGTTATGTCTGAAGCGGACGGTGCAAATGGTGGAGCTATCTGTAAGAGGTATGTAGTAGCAAAGCTACGCATACCCTGTTAGTTAAGAAGCCAGTGCATTGAAGCGGAAAGGTATAGCGGATCGGTATCGCGGAACGCGAATTTTAGAGTAGAGTCACCGTCAGTCCGTGGGTCTCCACATGCAGCAACTTCCACGTAGTGAGACCTGGATCGTTAATACTTGCAAAGTTTAATTGTAAATTTTTAAATGCAAGTATTACCGAACGAATGGCTGCATATTGTATTACTTTTCCAATATCTTTTTAATCTAATTCCAACTGAACATTAATATTTTTCGACTTTATATCGCTAATAATACTTCAAAAGAAGGAATATGGCAGAATTCTATTGTACAATAATTTCTCAGAGAAACGAAAATGAAATTTTTCTATCTCTCTTTTATGTCCACTGTCATTTCTATTAATTCTTATTTACTCTCATTAATTATTTTTTATATATTTCGGGTGGGACCCATGGGAGGGGCCTGTGGGCGAGGGCTTCTGTGCGGGTTGCTGTCTTAGCATTATATAGAACTGTTTCTCTTATCTTATCTTTTTGGGGCTCTCTGTTCTTCTCTTTCTGGGGCTCTCTTTTCTTTCTCGGGCTCTCGTTTCTATCTCATATTTTTCCTTTTAAATTATGTTTTCAATTGTGTTATTAATATATTATTTCCTTATAATTATGTTTTTAATTATTTGTTTAATTGTGTTTTTGATTAAGTTCTTAATTATGTTTTTAATATATTTCTATTAATTATGATTTATTTGCTTTAGGAACCATGGGATGATGCATGCTGCTTCTCTTTTCGTTTCTGTTTCTAGGTCTCTTATCTATTTATATATATTTTCTATTTGTATTTTATATATGTGTATATATATTATTTTCTGTTATATATATTTTTTTGTTCTTTTATTTCTTCTTTATCTTTTTCTTTTACAGGATAGATCATCGAGGGATAGATTCATCTGTGGACGGATACATCGTCGCCTGTTTGGATTCATCATCGATTTCTAAGCGCGAATACGGGAAGGATAGGAAGAACACTGGCGCGCGTGTCGGCGGGCACAGGCGTTGGTGTTCTCGGGCGCGATTAAACTTCGTTTGATTGTTCGAATCGAAAACGCGAATTGTAGAGTAGAGTTAACGTTTTTCTAACACGCGCGTGGGTGTTCGGGCGCGATTAAAGGTCCTACCGGGGACTTCGTTTGATTTCTTCAAAATTTCGTTGGGGGTACTTCGCGAATTTCGGCTTAACAGTAGAATCTACGTAATTATAACACACACGTGAGTGTCGCGACGCGATTAGTATTTCTAAGGAGTGCGCTTTGTTTGTTCGAAATTCGGAAAGCACAAATTCGAATGTGCTTAATTATTCGTTATGTCTGAAGCAGACGGTGCAAATGGTGGAGCTATCTGTAAGAGGTGTGCAGTAGCTAAAGCTACGCATACCCTGTTAGTTAAGAAGCCAGTGCATTGAAGCGGAAAGGTATAGCGGATCGGTATCGCGAAACGCGGATTTTAGAGTAGAGTCACCGTCAGTCCGTGGGTCTCCACATGCAGCAACCTCCACGTGGTGAGACCTGGGTCGATAGTATTTGCGATGTATTGAAATTTAATGCTAAATCACAAAACGCAAGTACTACCGAGCAAATGGCTGCATATTTCAATGTATTTTCAAAATTACTCCAATCTAAAGAAATTTTGTTTCATTTGTCAACAGAGCAAAAATGTTTATCTTTTGCTATTACATATTTATTGTTTTTGTTATATTTCCTCAAATTCTTTATTCCCAATAAGGAGTTGATAATACTAAAGATAACAAAGATGGTACATGATACTTGATGTTACTTGGTTGGATTCGTTATTGATAGAATTAGGATATGATGAAATAACTCAATTGTATTATGCTGTCCTAGCGCATCATTGTATAGTTAAAATTTATAAGGAAATCTTTTATCTAGGTAAGGTCGAACGAACGATGTATGTTCACTCATCGTATTGCAAAAGAAAACTGATCTGGTCAAAATTAGTAAAAAGTTTGTTTTTATTGATAATTAATATATTCAACGTCCGCGAGTTAAAATTTTTAATCTAAGAGAAAATAAATTATAATTATTTTATTCTTAACGCATATAATAAATAGCCGTAACAAATTTGTCATGTTCTTAATTATCGACAATTTATTAACAATCGATAGCAAGCATTATTACTAAATAATAAAAAATTAAAATCAAAGTTTTCAAAGATACGTTGTTTAGTATAATTATGATTTTAATTTTTAATAAAAAATTAATATCTCATTATTTGTAAAATCAATAATCATAGTTTTATTTAGGAATCAACGAACCGTTTTAAATATTTGTCGTACGTTTAACAAGCTAAATATTTTATCTTATAAAATGAATTATACAATATATCAATACAAGAATTTTGTTAATTTCATTATATCTATTTATAATAATAAAATAATATAAAAATAATTTTAAGTAGAGGGAAATTATATCGAAGCATAAGGGTAAAATACATATTATAACTGTAGGAAGATCTTAAATAAATTTAATTTTCCTTTTGTAATATTATTTAAACTTTAATATTCAATAAAGAAACCATCGTCATAATCATCATCATCAGAAAAATCTTGAATATTGTCATCTATATCATAATATATTCCAGGAATTAGAAAATCGTCCTCGCCATCTTCATTTGGTATTAAGCCATGATATAGCATATTAAAGCACTCGGATCCCGGATCACGGAAGTGCACATAAGGTTCTTGGGCGTTTAATTTTTTCCCACATAACCAACAGAAATATGTATTGCATTTCCCACAAGTCATTTTATTACAACCATCAGATTTCTAAAACACAATATTATGTAACATAATTTGAAAAAATAATTCATATAAATAATCATAAAAGAAATACAAACCTCAATAGCAGCATTACAATGAGGACAATGCTGACTATTTACATTGATCCAATTCTCTGACATTGTATTTTCTACTAACATTTGAAGTTGTTTTTTACCATATCTTGTTTCCATTTGAAGTCTTTTATTGTCTGAAGCAGCTTGATATTCTTTTACTAATTGTTGCTTTTCAGCTATTAAATAATGCTCTAATTATTATAATAACTCTAATGACATCTAAGTAATTATCATATAGTCACACATACACACACACACGCGCGCGCGCGCGCGCGTATATATATATATATGTGTATGTATGTTATATATACCTGAATTCATTTTACACGGTTCTATTCCATGATACACCATTTTACAATAGACACAAAATGCATATTGACAAACAGGACAGTTTGCCATTTGTTCATTGAGATCACGACTGACCGGGTATTGACAATGACGTCTTGGACAATAAACTATATCTGACATAGTATCTAATGTAACATTTAACAATATAGAATCATATTTGGCGAACATTTCTGGACTAACCAAATCTTTAATCTGAAAAAGAAACATGATGATAAGTTATTTATATTAAAAAATATAACTAGTATATATTTTTCCTATATAAAAATATATACTTGTCCGGGTGTTGCCTCAGAAGTACATTTTTCCTCGGGGCAAGAAATATTTTGTACATTTCCATCCTTAATCTTAACTTCTAAATAATCGCTGATGCAATGTTTACAAAATACATGAGAACATGGTAAAAATTTAATACAATGTTCTCCTAACTTATCTGTAAAACAGATTTTGCAAGTATACAAACTTTTATTAAATTCAATGTGATTACGTTTTTCATTGTAATCTATCAAAAATTGAATTGGATTTTTTCCAAAAGGACAATCGGAAAAAGCCCGTTTATCTATTTTTCTATGTTCTTTTCCTTTATAACGTTGTCTCTGCAATTTCTTCTTATTATTTTTACTACTACTCATATCTTTATCAATAGTTTCTTTTGCTTCGTGCTCTTCTAAACGTTTTTGAGAACTTTGATCTTCTAAATATTTTTGAGAACTCTGTACCTTTTCCAAAGCTATTTTATAAGTTGTATAGACAAAGTTCATACTAATAGATCGTTCTATATTTAAAAATTGTAAGGTTTCATGTTGTAAAAATCCAATCCAAACAAATAATATCTCTTGGCCCTTATTTTCTTCCCATAAACTATCTAATTTTTTGCATAATTTAGACAGTGGTGCTTGACATAACCAAGATGTGCATAATGTAAACATGGGTGGTGAAGTGGAAGGATAATTTTCTGGTAAAGTAACATATAACGACAATGGTGGTAAATGCGATATCTGTACTTTCTCTGCTGGTTGTTCCGAATATCTGTTATCCCTATATGTAAAATAATATCCTACAGGAAGATTTATAAATATCTTGAAATTACATTGATAAAGTATATCTTCATTGTAATATGAAAATTCTTCCTTATTGTAGATGCTTTCCAAAGCAGTAATCTCATCCTTTTGCTTTTCACTGTCCATTGAAGATCAATTATTTATTTTCGTATTTTGTTATCTCTAATCGTTGTTATATCTATAAAATAACTGATAGGTTTAGGTTATGAATCTAATATATATATTAACTAACGTTTTTAAATGAATTTTTTTTAATACGTTACCATTAATATTAATCCCTTAAGAATCACTTTTCTAATATTACGTTTCTTGTTTATTATTTTTAAATTCCAATATCGTAATATTACGTTTTATAAAAATGTTATCGTCTTTCATCTGTCTTCGCACATGCTAGGCGGAGTCTAAACAAATGAAATATTACTTAGCTATATTTAATACGTATAATTTCTTATTATATATAATACAAAAATAAAAGCTTCTTTTACAAGAAATAGTGTTTCATTCGAGTTTATAAACATTTATAGAGTAAAATTAAAAAAAAAAAAAAAATAAATAAATAAATAAATAAATAAATAAAAATAAAAAAACAGATGTAAATTTTATATACATTTTTCTAAGATCCCATTATGAGATCTTGAAGGATTAATATTCTATTTCTTTATTTTTTAATTCAAATTATCAAATATATTGCAACAAAAAGAAAAATTACTTTTGATACCATTAACGTCGTCAAATTGAACACCCTTGAATACTATCAAGCTATAATCACGGATTTAACTGTAGACGAGTAAGAAAGGCTTCTCGATGTAAAATGTAATGTCATTTTATATTCGCAGAGAATATAAAACAAAGCTCATCCTTTTTTGACCTTAAGTACGATAATAATATGTACTGCCGTGTTGTTTCAAAAGTTCTTTTACTTTTTTCTAAATTCTCGAAGAGCATTAAAATACTGTCTAAGATAAAATTTATCAATATTTATATGAATTTACATCCAGTAAATAGTCTTTCTGGGTAAAAATGTTTTTTTTTTTCTTCCATAACATGCTTTTCCTACTACCGTTCATTCGATGTATAATAAGTCATAGTTATACGTGACAATGATGCTTTAAAATTCGTGATACAATAGAAATGTTTGATAACAATAAAATCATATTAATTGATTTACAAAGTGTATCATTGCAACATATATTTATCTAACATTATCGGATTATCGGTTTTTACTTCGCACAGCTTCGTATATCACGTACGCGCGATTTCTTAGAAAATATTTATTTTTCTATATACAAAGGTTTACTTTTAATTAGTGTCAAATGAGTCCTGAGAGTGATATGTGGCAATTGATCCTTCCATTATCGATTGACGTTATTATGTCAATCGGTGCATATTTTTTTACTTTAAATTTGATTCCTAAATTAAAAGATCTCTTCGTTAAAGCTAACCTCTATGGAATTGATATGAATAAGAGGAACAGTCTGAAAATGTAAGTGATTAACAAGATTTATATACATATAAAGAAAAAGAAAAGAAAAAAAAAAAGAAAAAAGAAGAACACTCGTTATTTCATATTACTTTTATCAAATTCATTCTTACAGTCCGGAAGCATTAGGCGTTGTTACAGGATGTATATTTCTCGTAACAATGTTTTTATTTATTCCCGTACCGTTCACAGATTATATCCTCAAAAATGAAAATTTTCCGCACAATGAGGTAAATTAATATATTTATGTAATTTTCAATGAATATTAACATAAATACATGATATAGAAAGAAATGAAAAATTTTCTAAAATTTGGATAATTTATGAAATTTCTTTAATATTTCAATGAGAAGATTAATGACTTATTAACTTATATTACAGTTTGTTGAATTTTTGGCAGCTCTACTTTCAATATGTTGTATGCTGCTTTTGGGCTTTGCCGATGATGTTTTGGATCTTCGTTGGCGGCATAAATTATTATTACCTACTATTGCCACTTTACCACTCTTAATGGTCTATTATGTAAACTTTAATTCTACATTGATCATAGTGCCAAAACCTTTAAGAATTTGGCTTGGATATTCGGTAGATCTATGGATATTTTATTATGTATACATGGGAATGTTAGCAGTATTTTGTACAAATGCTATAAACATATTGGCCGGTATAAATGGTTTGGAGGTTGGTCAGAGTTTAATTATTGCCGTCAGTATAGTAATGTTCAATATTATAGAGCTCTCTGGAGATCTGTGGAAAGCACATAGATTTTCATTATACTTTATACTTCCATACATAGCAACTTCTCTTGCTCTTCTTAAATATAATTGGTAAGTCAAATATTATTAACAGTATTAAAAGTGATAAAGAAATATTAAATTAATATTTATAATCTAAGGTAAAGGAGATCTACAATTAAAAGTAAGAACATAGGCCATTCATTTCTTTATAAGTTATATATGTATAAATCATTTAACATTCATATTTTAATCAACATAGTATTTTAGTATATAAATTCAGTATATAATATCATACAATATATGCCGAGTACTGAGTATGAAGTAATATCACAGTCAGAGTATGACCAGTGTCTCAATAATAGTCTAATTTAGCATAAAAATTTTCTATCAGCCAGTCATATTTCCACGTATTATTGAGTACAGTTTCAGGAGCAAAATACAAATCATGAGATTTAGAGACTCTTAAGAGGTTAGTTTTACCATCTATCCATAAGCCACTTCCTATAAGATCTTCTATAAAAGGTACATCGATCCTTTTTTCAATTTTGGGCATTTTTTCAGACTTTCTTGTAGTACGAAGATTAATTATAATATTGGCTGGGGCTTGACACAGATAACAATACCATCCTCCATAATGATTTAAGTCTCCAATAACTAAGCCAAGAACATCTCTTTCGCTTGTTTCTTCCAATAATTGTTTTTGGAGAATTATAGAATTTGATTTATAAGCTTCATGCATCAATCCGATAGTATATGCGTTAAGAGTTATTGTTGTTTTAAGTGGGTGTTGCCAATAAAAACCATAGATTAACCATCTTAGCCTAAAGCCAATAGGCTGAGGCCATCCGTCGTATACTTTAAGGAACATCAATGCTCTAGAATTTAATATTTGCTCTGGCTCAGTCATTACATAAATATCATCGTCTCTTAAATTCTGCACTACAGTCTTTACTTTCTCCCATATGTACTTAGATAGTACTCTCGATGGTTTGCGAGATTTTGTTGCTGCATTTATATATAAAATCTTATTTTGTTCCCGCTGCAACAATCCTTTAGATAATTTATGATGAAAATTATCTTCTGCACCATTAAAATCACAAATTACAAAAAGATCAACTACATCATATAGTTCTTCTACAATAACTTCTGCAATTGCCGAATTATATTCGTTTAGGTAAAAAGTATGAATTATACGTCTAGCTATTTTACGATGTGTTAGTTTAATATTTTGCTTAGATGCCATGATTGCTCTCCAAACGACTTCGGGTTGTCCACAATCTATCCCATGCCAACCTTGATTACATATACATTTTTCAGAGATTTCGTTAGTCCTCATTTTACGATCATCGACTCCATCCTTCCAACATATAGTATGATTGTATATTCGAAATAATTTAAAAGTTCTGATATCATTTAGGTATGTCTCACCGCTGATTGTCTGATATTTTGGAAGTCTTTTATGTATTGTTCGTTCTGTATGATGACCCTGTAATTAGATAAAAATTTCATAGTTCTTCACGATAATATAATCTCTGTAGAATAATATAAATTCTCTTTACCTGAGTTTCTTCAAAGTTTACAAAACTGACAGAACTACGTGTACTGGCAACAACTATTTCAGATGGTGGAGTTGTTATAACATAAACCATAACAATAAGAACTTGTAAAACCAACAACGTATAAAGTAACGCCAGCTTCCCATCTAGGCGGGTCTGCATGGCACTATTCTCCGCGTTAAAAAAAGTTCAGTTTTTCATTTTATGTCTTTCTATCTGTATTTTTCCTGAAGTAAGACATTTCTTCTACCTAATCAAATAAACAATATAATCTGAAAATTTAACGTTTATTTGTACAAAAATTTATACATTATTTCATTTATATGATTTTATTTTGTCATAGATATCAATAATATTTGATTTAATGGATATTCTAACCAAGTTAGTTATCGCGTATAAGAAGACCATTTTTATTTGAAATAATTAATACATGTTTCTCAATAATAATAATAGATAAAATGATTACTTTGTGATCTAAATAATTGACGTTTTAAATTTTGAAACATCATGACAGTATTATATTACAATAGAAAAGCTAATCTGTGTGTATAAAATTTGATATAAACTCACGATAAAACGTGACGAGGATTCAATGCCCCCGCGACGTGACGTTCAAGTCGTGACGTCACTGCTCTCCGACGTGCCATTTAATTTCGAATGGCTCCGTTGACTGGACGAACAGCAGCGTCCTCGCTAACTAACTAACGCCTTCTATTCGATTCTCGGTATTCCGCTGCTAGGAAGATCGTCTTTTGTTATATAGTAACGCATATTTTTAATCTCGCCGTTAACCGTACTTTTATTTCGATTCTCGGTTCCTTCCTTCTGAATCTTTTAGACTTTCTTGAAATCGTCTTAAACGTCGTGTAAAACCACGCCCGAATGCGCGACTATACTCCAGCCTCATCGTACGTCCATTCGTCAAATTCGTCGGCAAGCGTGATCATGACTATTCGTAAGGCGCATGCGTCTTACGTTGACCATTAGTTCGGCGATCGACGATCATGGAATATAATTGGAAACTATATGTTGCTGTTCGTTGACTAGCATAAAGTTTTCTATTTACTTGTATGCGTTGTTCATATGATAAATAAATTAAGTATATACATATATATATATATATATATATATATATGTATGTATATATCATACGAATAATTTATAATATAAATTGTTATTCGTTCCAAAGCATAGTCGTTAATTAGTTTAAGACAAATCATATCTTTAATAATAATAAATAAACGGTATTAAAATTGTCTTATTTTGTTTAAGGTATCCATCAAAAGTATTCGTAGGAGATACATTTTGTTATCTATCTGGAATGACATTTGCAGTTGTTGGTATTATTGGCCATTTTAGTAAAACTACTTTATTATTTTTTATTCCACAAATTATTAATTTTCTGTATAGTATACCACAACTGTTTCATTTTATACCATGTCCTAGACATAGACTACCAAAGTAAGTTTTCTCTCACCAATAATAATATATGTAACTATATATTGTTAAAAAAAAAAAGAAAAGCAAGAGAGAAAAACCAGTCCTATATTTGACTACAGGTACAATAAAGATACGGATAAATTGGAAACTAGTGTCACAGTATTTAGATATTCTGACCTGAATCCTTCAGGTATGTTGTATTGATAAAATTGATATATATATATATATATATATATTCCTTTTTATCTAGATCATGAAATGAGTTATTTTTTTAAATAGGTAAATTTTTAATGTGGATCTTCAGAACCATAAAAATTGTTCAATGGCAAAAAAGTAGTGAAGACACTGTGACTTGCAATAACTTAACTCTAATAAATTTTTTATTAATTAATATTGGACCAACAAGGGAATCTGCGCTAACATTAATTTTGATATTATTACAGGTATTCATATATTTCTTTATAAAAATGTTATACTAACTATATATATATATTTTTTTTTATATGGGATTATGTACACTTAACATATGAATCTTTTAGGTTCTTTGTAGCTGTTTAGCATTTGTTGTACGTTATCCACTTGCTTCAGTATTTTATGATATTTGAAGTAAAGCAGAAACAATAAATAATTATATCTGTGTGTAGTAGGTGTTACATTCTTCTTTGTATATAAAGAACTTGTAATAATATGTCTACTACTGTGATTTTTACATTAGATTAATATATAGATTTATAAACAAATTGTAAGCATATATATGAAAGGCTTATACTTTATGAATCCTTAGTAATATAATTTCTAGATAAGACTGTGAAATATGTATATTCTCAAATTACATTCACATTTGTTTCATTGGTTCCTCAGTAAGAAAATCAAAGATATAAAGAAATAATTATCGTAATGTTATAAACTTATGAGTTATTAAGTCTGTTGTATAAATTGTATATAACTTGTTTAAAAACTTTCTGTAATTTTATGTACAAAATAATACAAAAGATTTATTTCAATTCACAATTAGAGTTTATTATCTGTTTTAAACAATACGTGTTATTTATTTATTTTTTTAATTTGTGAAAAAGAAAAATTAATACTTTTCACATTTTACAAGTTACAATTAATTTCAGTGTTTTTTCTTTATCATTTAATCTATAAAAAATATACAAGTTTAAAACATTATAAATAAAATATATTAATAGAAATTTTACACAACAATTTAACATACTTTTAGAAATGAAAGATGTATAGCCTTTCATAAATACTGGATTTAGAAAACAAAGCTGAAAATAATAATGTTATCTGTTATAGAATTTTTATAAATTGAGAGGATATATATATGTATATACATACATATATATATTTTTATATAATATATATATATGCACATATATATTAAATACATAAAAATAAACAAAATACATTTAAAATAAAGATATCTAAAAAGTGCAATTATCTGCATAATGGTTGTTCAATAGTTCATCAGTAGTGGGAAATGTTTTCAATTGATAGAATATAATATTGTTATTCATAACAAACTTAATTGTAAATTAAATGCTATAGAATATTATAAAAGGTGAGATATTTTAGGAATTATCTCTGAAAAAATGTTAACTAAGTAAACTATATGGCAATATTAACAACATAGAAAGATTGTTTATGAAGAATATTAAAATTAAATCGTAACAACATAAAATCGTGTAAAAATATTGAAGAGTTATAATGTATATACATCACAAGAAAAAACCGTGCAAATAATAAATACATTTATAAAAATTTCAATATTTTTTGATATTAATCAATCAATCAAAGCTGTTTGACTTTATATGCAATAATAATTATTGCAATGGAAATACTATGAATATAAAATTTATACTATAGCTTCATATAGGAACGTGTGCTTTTGTATTTGCACGAGCAAAGAACTGGTACATTTTCTTTTTTGTTTTATTTTATGTATTATACCTATTTCAATTTTCTTGACATAAAAACGTGAAAGATTTTACGACATATTCTGTAGATTTTTAACATCTGATCTGAATCTGTCTTGTATGGTAAGCTGTGCTTTTGCTCCATCCCTTAAACTGTAAAGATGTGTAAGTTCCATTGATGTGCGACTTAGTGCTAAAGCCTTATCAAACAGTTCTATTGCTTCTTTATAATTTCCTCTATAAAAGGAAGTACACGCATGATTATAAAAGCATCATAAATTATATATATATATATGTATGCACGCGTGCGCATACACACAGGTTATGTTAAAAAGTGTCAGATTTATATTAAAAATTATATATACCTTTGTACTTCTATCGTTGCTAAAGTTTCATATCCAAATTTACATTTTTCATCAAGTTTCAATGCTTTGTTTATGTATTCAATAGCTTTATCAGTGCTATTAGTCCATTGTAACTGCAGTAATCCTCTATGCACATATATACTGGCATTATACGGATCTTTTTCAACTGCTTTAGCAAAATACGAATCTGCTTTCACATAATCCAACGTTTCTGACAATATCTATATTATACAATAATTCATAAAATATTAAACCATATAATATATGATGGCTATAGAATATATAATATACCTCAGCATATAATGTATAGCATTCGGGACAGTCAGGGAATTTTTCAAATGCTTTTTCAAAATTTTTTAAACAACTTTCTACTAATAGTACATCTCTTTTGACTATGGCATAACGATAATCTGTATAACATTTTTGTACATATGCTAGTCCAAAATCAGGATTTAAATCCACAGCTTTTTGAAAATCTTCTTTTGCTTCATCTATTTTTTCCATAAGTAAGTTTACCTATATTTATATATAATATAAAATTTAATTATTCGTGTTGAAAAATATATCATTTATACAATTTAATTAACGGACACATTACCTGTCCTCTATGATGATAAATATCACTACAATTTGGATCAATATTAACAGCTAAATCAAAATCAATGAAACTTTTTTCTGGATTTTCAAGTTGCATATATAAGCTTGCTCTTTTGATTAAAGCATTAACTTTTATTTCTTTAGATGCATCAGTCGAATTTACAATTTTTTCAAAATCTTCTAATGCCGCATCATGTTTCCCTAAAAGTAAATAAAATGTTGCTCTGAGAAGTAACATTTCCATTTTCCATGGTAGGACGTCTAATTGTTCGCTATCAATTTCATTTGTACAAAGTGATATTATGTTATCATAATCTTGATCATCTAATGCTTTCATGATTTTTGTAAAGCCTCTGCAGCATTAAAGAAAAATACAAACATTATAAGTTTCAATGTTGTTAAATATTTGTCATAAAAATATAATCATCAAAAAAAAATAAATCATAATCGTTTGTGAATACTTACATGGAGGGATTATCATAGTGTAACTTTATGGATGTAGGAAAAATTGGATCATTATGAAACGAATTGATGTATGTTTTGATAAAGTGTTTGCTTGGCAGGACAAACTTTTTATTTGCCCAATGTTCTTGAGCATGTTGTTTACCTACAAATAGAGAATTATAATAATTATTTATTTTAATGTAATCTAATCTATTAAAAATTACATTTTTTTACCAAACTTACCAAGTTGTTTTAGAACTCTATCCGCTGTTGTTAAAGCAGATTGATTGACAAATCCTTCTAAAACACAAGCTGTAGTAACATCTTCTAAGGCATGTTCCAAATCATTGCTATGTTCTAGAGCTCTTCCTCTACGTAAAAATGCTTTTGCGTATCTTGGATTTAATTCTAATGCTTTTGTACAATCCGCTTTTACCGCGCTATATTTTCTCTATAAAATAATATCTCATATATATATATTTAATATATCACCTATAATTGGTGTAATTGAATTGAACAAAATTTTTACCAAATGTTCATAAGCTGCAGCTCTATTTTGATAATATATAGCAAGTTCTTCCTTATTATCTTTTGGACAGGTATCGATAGCATTATTGTATAAGGCTATTGCTTCATCGTATTTTCCCATTTTAAAGTAAACATTGCCTTCATCCTTGAATTTTTGGGCCTTTTGTAAAGGAGTCTACAATAAAAGAACTTTCATTTTAAGTGATCGAAAATGTTCAATTATATCTTATAAGTTTCTTTAACAATTCATATAATGTAATAAGACATGAAGAAATTGTTGAATGTTTGATATATGACAACATCATTTAAAAAAGAATCCAATAAATTGAGTAAATATCAAATAAGCACTTTCGCAATTGATACTAATTAAATTAAGTATATATGATATCATGACTTAATGGATTATATCAAAAGGATGACAAAAATTAATAGACATATTTTTATAAATCAGACATTTATGATATTATGTATGTGTATGTGTATCTTAATACATATATTTTTATTCGTTAAATCTTATTTATATAATTTCCACAATCAATGAAAATCCTGATGGTATTCTAACCTCGATTTGTGATGCATTTTCGGATTTTAAATTGCAATCTTCATCTATCGAAATTTGCTTGTCAGTCTTAGTACCATTTTCTCGAGAGCTATATTTTGATTTACCACGTTCTGGTTTAGAGGATGGCTTTGTACTACTTTTATAATACATGTAGCCAAGTCCTAAAGCTACCGGGGCTCCTACCGCTAAAGCGAGTTGCCATTTTGGTAATGCACTGCTGGTTATACTACCCACACTATTTGCTGCTGGCATGTTTTATTATTGAAATTAATCTAATTACTCTCCAAAATTGCTTTTTTCTTTATTTCTTCTTTATAAATTGCTTCCCGTTTGCTCTCACCGATACGCTGTTGGAGAGCGTTTATATAGCCAGAGTTGCGTGGTCATGCGGAATGACGTATTACGAAAGAAAAAAGAGAAAAGAAATTTTTAATTCTAGTTCATTCCAATTCACTTTAATAAGTCCCAATACAGAAAATCATGTACATTTCCTACAACTACGTTCCACCCTACGATTAATCACAATCGTTCTGTGAACCACTTCAGCTCCTTAAGAAGCGCTATAAAACGTTTAAGGCTTACGTTTAGTTCTTCATTCCGCCATTTCGAGAAGTTGTCGCTGTTATTCGTTGTCATGGATTATCTTCTCTTTACTTTTATATTATTTCTCTTTATTTTTTTTGACTTTAAAGATTACAAAGCAATTTTATTATTTTCAAATTTTTCAAAATTTTCTACTTCTATTTTCTATTTAACCACAATGATAGATAGCGAGAAATGGTAATTACCTTTTTTAATCTGTTCGTGCATAATCATTCTTGTGAAAGAATAAAAGTACAAAAAAGAATAAGCCTAATTAAAATAAATATGATATATTTAACGAATTAATCTTTTAATCGTTAATATTGTTTTTATTAATTTTAATCGTCATTCATTTTTAAGGATATAAATTTGAATGATGTATTACGTTCAACGATTATGCGCTCTTTTCTATGCGCATGCGCAAGATTTTCCCGGAAAGATGTTCTGTCAACAGGAACGGTGTTTTATCAACTTTCATACCAGAAGCTTGTTAAATTTTAAAGAGGTTATGAAGTTTGAGAATCGTCACAAAAGTTATCAAACTTTTCGGATGATGCTTATTAGTCGGAGGCATACAGTATATGGAAATAAATATAATTAAAAAACGTTATTTCTTTTAAGCCAATATTGTATCACGTTTTAATTGTGACACTTATCAAAATGGCAATACAAGAAGAAGGCAAGACGTGGTACGTCTTTGTAACAACATATTATTTTTTAATATCTTTAGTTTTCGTAACGATATTTATACATAATGCGATTTAACGTTGCTCTTTGTTTATTAAATTTCAACAACCTAATTGATTTGTTAATATTCATACGTATTCCCAATTTATCGTATGTTTGTTGTGATATTCATTAGATTATTTACTATTTAATTTATATATTTATTTTTAATATATGAATTTAGATAACATTATCGATATATAAAAACAATTTAAATAAGATATGCGTTAAAACATTTTATTAAATTACATTATCGTATTATTAGTGAAAATAATGAAAATAATGAATATGATAATGCATGAGGTTTATCTCACCATATTTTTATATTCAATAATTTACATATGAATATTATCACTTGATTTTAAGCTTCTTTATCTCTCCTTTATTTGTCTATATATATATATATATATACTTTTTATACTACACATGCACACACACACATACATTTATAGTATATATATTAGTATATATATTAGTATATATGTTAATATTATTGAAATTGAATTTTAAATATTTTTACAAGTATCTGAGATAGTAAAAATATTCATCTGGATAATTAATATGTTTAATTGGAATTTATTGATAATTAAATAGGGTACTGGAATTAGAAGCAGCATTGCTTGATACGGAAGCACCGTCTGCCTCTGACATATATGCAATTTGTAAAGGTCAAGCAGTTCCGGAAGATCTAAGACCAGATGTTTGGCAAGCATGTTTAAATGTTACAGATCGAGGTAATCAACTAAGTCAGTTCAATGAAGTCTTTGATTTGCCAGAACAAAATATTATACGAGATGATTGTCAAGAATTTGTTGGTGAGTCCATTTTTGTTCTTTTTTTGTTTTCTTTTTTCTTATTGTTCCAAAGTATAAATTGATTTTTAACAGATAATTATTGATTTGATCATTTTTATATTATTTCATATAATATTTTCCATTAATATAGCAAAACTTGGAAATGATGATGAAGATAAGGTTTTTGTTGTTTCTGACTTGGAATCAATTATAACATATTACTGTAAAACTAAGGTGGCACAATATGAGAGAGGAAATGGTTGGTTAGAATTATTAGGTCCATTGGTAGCTCTAAAATTACCACGTTCCGCAACATATAATTTATTTGAGGCAATAAAAGAACTATATATACCAAGGTCAAAATTCATTATTATATAAATTTGATCTAAAAAGTGTAGAATATCATTCATATATTTTTATCTTCCACAGAGGTGAAATATACAGTTCTGTATTGCGACTTTTGTTGTTATACCATGAGCCAGAATTGTGTTCTTTTTTGGATACAAAAAGGGTATCACCTGATCAGTACACAAAAGGTTGGGTGAATACTTTATTCGCTGGTGTATGTTCCTTGCCAGCAGTGTGTACAATGTGGGATTTATATTTTATGCAAGCTGATCCTTTTTTCATGTTGTTTCTTTCTCTTATAATGGTAATAAATGCAAGGTCAGAGAATATAATTAATTTCTTTGTTAACTATACAATTATTATATAAATAGTATATATAAGATCGAACTTTTATTTTCATTTTCGTACAGAGAACAAATATTAAGCATGAAAGATGATGATAAACAAAGTATAATAGATGCCATATCAATGATGCCATGTGCTTTGGAGGCTGAAGATGTAACAGATTTTTGTTCATTAGCACAATATTACGCAATGAAAACGCCATCATCGTTTAAACATGATCTGTACCCTATAATGTTTGGTGATAATTATGAAAATAAATTGATATCGCATGCTTTATGTTTACCAGTATCGGCTCAAGAATTAGTAGAAAATGCAATTGAAACTTCGTCCGTGTCTAATAATTCTGTTGAATCGGTTAGATTTTTTTTAGTGGACTGTCGACCTGCAGAACAATATAACGCAGGGCATTTGCCAACTGCATTTCATTTAGATTGTAACTTGGTATGTTAATTATTAATATTTTTATTGTAAATAAATATTATCCAACAAGTTCATTATTTTAGATGCTTCAAGAACCATCTGCATTTGCTACTGCGGTACAAGGATTATTACAAGCACAACGTCAAGCATTAGCTGTTGGTTCGCACGCAGGAGGAGAACATCTTTGCTTTTTAGGTAGTGGTAGACAAGAGGAAGATCGATATACTCATATGGTAGTGGCTTCTTTTTTACAAAAACACACTCAATATGTGAGTATGGTTACTTTAGGGTATCAAGGTATGATCAAATATATTTAATAAATACTTTTTATTATTAATGAAATAAATACAAAATTATACAAGATTTTGTTAAAATTCTCTAGCAATACATGAATATTTTGGAGATGAAGTGGTTTCCAGTTTGGTCGATCATAATTCACAACATTGTTTGGTATGTAATGCCAACATGTCTGAGACTAATTCAAACGAAGCAAGTCCAGATAAAACGAAAAACAATAATACTGATCTTTTTGGTAAGATTGGTATGGTAATGAGATTAAAGAGTCAAAAAGTGAAAGGGAAACTTTTCGATTATATTGTTAATCCTTCTGCGAGTGTTAATAGCAATATGGATATAAAGGGTAATAAAGATTTAGAATACATTAGACGATCAAGAAAAACGGCACCTGTTTTTAGTATAGATGATGATCAAGAACTAGGTGAGTTAATGATCAGTGCTTAACTCTTTTTAAGATATGACTTAACTTATTTAAATAACCCAAATTTTTGTTTAGATATGACAATGACCAATAATGAAAGTGAAGAACCTATTGAAGTTGTATCTATCCAGCAATGGATGAAAGATCCTAAATTATTACATTCCTTCAAGTGTCAAGAAGTTAAAGTTAATGGAGATCTTTGCGATAGGTAAACAAAATTTTAATTTCGAACGTTCTTTTCACAGAAATATGTAAAAACATATATTTATTTTGTATTTTTCTGTTATAGTTTATTGTTAATTACTGATAGCCATCTCATTGTACTCCGTGAGATACAAGAACGTAAGGGTGCAGCACACGTAATCGTTAAACGTCCATTAACTAGTATTGTTAAAATAACATCTAGAAAACGACATTCAGACCTAATTACTTTCAAATATGGTACTACACAATATAATGATACAGTGATTTCTGATATGGATAAATTTCTTATACCTAATGCAAGTGAAGCAACTAAATTAATCACACAACAAATTCTAAAACAATTGAAAACATCTAATGTAAGTTCTAAATGAGTACAATAATTGAATTATAGTATATTACTTTAATTGCAGAAGGAATTCATTTAAATATTTTTAAAGTTTTTAATTTATCTTATATAAATATAAAACATGAATGTTTATCTGCTTAATACAATATATATTTATTTTAATAGTTAACATAATAAAGTTTATAAGGTACTACAAAGTCGGTAGACCGCGATAACATTTATAATTAATGATAACGAAATTACATAATTTTTTTTGTTAAATTCATATTTCATACATCAAAACAAAAAAAAATCTAGACTTTTATTCTATCATAGGGATAACTTGTGTTGTGAGCTAATGGCCCAAGTCTAGTCAAAAATTTGTCATGTTGTACATTATGCAGAAAACATAAGGTTTATTTCTAATAAATCATTATAAATGGGACACAAGAAAATATGTCCATATAATATGAGATTTTATATTTGACTATAACATTTAATGGCTTTCATATAATCATCTTGCCTTTAACAATGTTAACACATATACATTTTATATTTATATTTGAAGTATGCTATATGAAAAAACATATTTCATTTCATTTCTTGGAAAATTATATAAACTGGCTGTGATAGAAACTATGGTTCTATTAATAGACTTTTAGCAAGCTTTCAATGCATAATGTACATATAAGACTGAGGGCTTAACATATTTAAAAAAAAAATCGAGAAACAGTATAATTGAATTGCAAATTTAACTCATTTCTAAAATTTGTAAATATAACGTAATTATCATGATATAAATACAAATATATGAAATTTTGTTTATTCTTTTAGTAATTCACATTATTCGAAGTACTTAAGATATTAACTTAAAATGATGTAGTTACCAGAGTCAAACTAATAATTACTTTGAAAGATATTTTCACTTAATATAATGCAATCATATATGTTTGTACTTTCTGATAATTTTTGAAAATAATTTTTTTAGATAAAAAGAAATAAATTCAAAATATCTTTTAATTCTAAATTTAAAAAATTTGTCATCATGCTTTCTCTTTGAACATTATATAAAGATGTCCACTTGCCAAATGGATATTTGGCACAGTTAGTATATATATATAGAATATTATATATATATATATATATATAAAATTTCAACATTATATGAATTATACAACATACAGATGAATCTTCTAAACAAATTCAAAGAAAGTAGTACTAACTTTGTATTGCCTTTATTCGTATACAATTACCATTTTTATGATAAATAAGACATGTCTAAAATATTTGCTATTAGGAAAATTATTCATTTTTTCTTCAATATACATATACACACACACACACAAATATTTCAAAGTAAGGCAAAATATTTCTTAAAATCTAATTAAGAATATTGATAAAATCATCATCTTGATAAAATATTTATAATTAATAATTTTCTATGGTCTCACACAGAAAAGAATACATTTATTACTTTTATAATCAGATTAGTAAATACTGTTAACTACAGTTTTATATTAATATATTTATTTGTTTATTTATTAATTAAATGCTGAGCACTTTTAATAGAAAAAGACTGCTTTAAATGAATTGGTTTGCATTAGTCTAAACATATTATGATTTTTGGTAGCAGAAAATACAAACATGTAAAATTTGTTTATAGTATGCTATATCTTATTTGTACAATACGTAAATTTCGTGTTTGAGCTTCCAAAAAAGAATATCTTGATATATCTAAGTAAGTAAAAAAGATTATGTAAACATCACACGTATTGATAGAATAATTATTTAATAATAGATGAAGCATTATATAAGAAAATTCATTATATCATTTTGGAAATGTAAATAAGAGTATATGTATTATAGATGATGTATAATAAATAATTATAAGTGAGCAACTTATTTTTAATTATATTTGTTTATTAACAAATATAAATATCATATATTTATCTATTTTTTCACCTCATTTTTATATAAAAAGGAAAAAAAAAAACAAAAGGAAATACAAAATAACGAATGGATTGTCATATCGTATTTATCAGAAGAACTATTACTTTGTTATCTCAAATTAAAAAAAAAAAGAAATATATATATATATATTTCAAATATACTGATAAAGAATATTAAGATTACTTTTTGATATGAAAGAAAAGAGTAGGGAGGGAATGGATAGTTAAGGCGACCCTTTAATGTCCGCTTGTGATTTCAACATGACTCTAATATTTTATATTTAAAATAATGCTATAAAAGAGAGTAATTATAAAATGATATCTACAAATTGGGGGGAATTGTTTCCCGGAAGATGGAGTCTTGTCATTTTTCTTTCTTACATGGCACTTTTTATCAATCAAGGTAAATTTAAGGTTAGATTTTTATTTGTACTGCTATACTCGACATCTTTTCAGTAAAATAATAATAAATATTTTGAAAAATTATATAACGCAAAATACTCGTTTCTTATATTAGTATATTTATTAATGTACTAATATACTATAATTGTAATTATTAGTACATTAAATTTTATAATATCATAATTTCATAATTTTATAATGAATATCTTTATGTACTTTTCGATAAGCAAAATCAAAGTTCCTCTTATATCATTTATCTTGATATATATATTATAGGAATTATTGTAACATGGTCTCAAACGAATGGTCAATACGAATATAATATTGTAGCAGTGGTATTGTTAACAGAAGTTTTAAAATTAATTGTATCGGCTATTTTGTATTGGAAAGAGTAAGTACAATGAAAAGCAAATCTTTGATCTTATTGATTCAATATATTATATGAAAACATTGACTTTTGTTTTTATTTTTAGTAACAAAATATTATCTCTTTTCCAAGAGATAGTAATACATAAAAAGGGTATGTAATGTTTGATATATAAATCAGATTTAGTCAAATAATGTTGTAAGTTTCCATGTAAACAATTTAGAAATATTTAAAAAAATTCTTTTAATTGATAATTCTACATTTTTAGTGCTTCTACTGTACTTAATACCTTCATTTTTATACTGCCTGTACAATAATTTGGCATTTATCAATTTGGCTGTATTTGATCCAACAACTTACTATGTTCTATTGCAATTTAGGGTTGTTATGACAGGAATTATTTTTCAGGTATGTATCCATAAATATTTTTCCATATCAGTCATTTTATAATATTTATTTACTTTTCAGCTCATCTTTAAAAAAAAATTATCTGTAAAGCAGTGGTTGTCTTTGTTATTATTGACGCTTGGTTGTATGATAAAACATGTAAATATTAGTATGGATGAAGATGTTAGTACAAAATTTGTACTAAATAAAAATATTTATCTCATCTTTATTCAGGTTAGTCTCTTTGATATAGTACTTTTTTTTTTATTTGTTTGCAAATGAGTTATAAGCATAAATATTTTTACCTTACAGACTTTTTGTTCATGCTTAGCTGGCGTTTATAATGAATATTTGCTTAAACAAGGAGCGAATATAAATATTTTTGTACAAAATGTATTCATGTACATAGACAGTATTTTATGTAATGTTATAGTATTTTTAATATTATTTACATGTCAAACCAATGTTACCAATATATTTAATAATATTGGATCTAGTATTTTTATGCAACCCAAAGTAATAATAATTATGCTAAATAATACGGCTATTGGCATTATAACAAGCTTTTTCTTAAAAAACTTAAATTCTATATTAAAGACATTTGCTAGCGCATTAGAATTAGTATTTACAGCCGTCTTATGTTGGATTATATTTGATATACCTATTTTTATAAATACAGTGATATCTATTGCCATGGTTAGTAATGCTGTAATTTTATATTCTCAAAATCCGGTTCATAATGAAAAATCAGCAGAAATAGAATCTAAAAAACCGTTGATTGAAAGAATTATATAATAGGTAAAAATATAATGGTAATTATGAATTGATTCTTACAGCAATACAGATAAAAATACATAATATTATCATAATATTAGAAAATAATATATTAACTTTGGCTCAGTATAAATAAGCTACATTTTTGTCTTATTTATAATAAAATACGTTTATTTTCTTTTATCGAACAATAATCAAAAATTAATTAAGAATATATGAATATGATATTTATGTATTTTTTATAGTAATTGTTAAGTTTTATTTTTAGAAATTTAAATATATATATATATATTCGTATTAAGTCTCAATATAGGATATCTACGAACAAAAGTATAAAAACATATATCGTGAATTATGAATACGTGCGTATCTGATTAATTACTTAATTACTTAATTTTCACTATCGATTTATATGTATAATATATGTTATGTAATGATAGAGCGATAACGTTATAACACCGAAAATGAACAATATGAACAAATCCGAACAAAATAAACACAAATATTATAAAGCTATTAAAAATGACGATATTAGTTGAAATAAATGTGTATCAAGTATTTTAATTTATCTATATGCATTATTATTATCTATTTTGAGGTTAACAAATATGTATTTGATTTTATCAAAATATAATTGGAATTATAACATATATCAAAAATTCATTGGTAGACGCATGAAACGTCGTCGATTGATTTTAATAATGAAACAATTAAATAATAATAATAAAAACAAAAAAAAACAAAAAAAAACAAAAAAAATAAGGAGTTCGTTATTGTGTCATGATTCGTAATTAAACAGAGAATGATTTTCAACGTTCGAATATTTCGATCGTGTTTATACGTATATAGAACGTATACGTGAATAATGAGGGAAATTATTAAAGAGAAAATCTCGTGATTGCGTTTGAATAATGAAATGATCAATCGCAGGCTACGCTAAAGGGAAGATAAATATTGAACATCGATAATGAAGGTATAAAGCGATATTGTTATCTGACCTTCGAGGAGCTACGGCTCGAAATGCATACAAAAAAGAAAAAAAGAAAAAAAAAAAAGGAAAGAGATAGGCACGCATCGATTTTTTTTCATATAACAAATATGAATGATGTAATAAAAAATTTTACGGATCTACGATCGTTTTCTTGCAAAGTAAAAGAAAGGAATTAATTTTTTTTTTCTTTTCAAATGACCCGTAAAAAAAAAAGAAAGAGAAATCTTCAAGCGTTCCTATTGGTGGAACGATAAAATATAAGCTTACGTTAAAATATATATATATAATAACGATAATCATAATGATATATATGCATGCAAGTATATTATATATATATACATATATATATACGTGAAAAAGAAAAAAAAGAAGGAAGAAGAAGGGTGGTCGAAACCGTTCTACCGTCGAGTCGTAAGAGTTCAAGAGTTAGAAACTGCTATCAAAGTGGGGATGAAATGGTCGATATTACCTTTGAACCACCATGCTCGCGAAGAACAGGGGCAATAGTCACATGCCGGTCGTGGTCAAGTGAGGTTACCGTTTTGAATCAACTTCCGTTTCGTCTATATACGCGTGCCTCCTTTCATAACTATCAACTCTTATTTCGTTCTTTTTTTTTCTTTTTTTTTTTTTTATTTCTAGTCTTTTTCTATTAATTGCTTGTTGTTTCTTTCTTCATAAAAATCATGATTATCGGTGAAACATTACACGGTGGACGAAACGGAATTACCAATACGGTAGGTGAATGCAAAAGAATTTATAAATATTTGCTTCGAAAAAATTATTTTTATTAAAAAAAATCTTTCATCGCCGATTATTCGACTATTTCACTGAGCTAATATATTAAATTTGTAGAAACTTTTTAAAAAGTAGACCAATTTATTATATTTTCTTTCTTTCTTTCTTCTTCGTCTTCCTTTTTTTTTTTTTTTTTTAAACGGAAACGTTTCGAAAAAGAAAAAGCTTAAGTTCACTTACAACAAGCGATCCCTCCGATATACGAGCAGAATTTCTTTTGGTTATGCAATCGCATTTCGTGTGTACTACTTTTATACGAAGTTCGTGTCGTGAGATTTGACGATAAACTTGGCAAGTTTCCCTGTTTGGTGCCTGCTTGGCCGTTTTTTAAAAGTACCGCTTGAAGAGTGAGAGAGAGAGAGAGAGAGGGAAAGAGAGTGAGAGACGCTGATAAGTTCGTAATAACTAATAATGAACCGATCCTAATCCGGACATCTCCCTGTTGCTTTTGAATATAAATTAGTATAACGCGAATAAAGGTTGGAGAATAAATTCTAATCAACTCTATTTCTTCTTATCTCCTACAAATATGAACACCACAAACATATACTATCACGCTCGCACACGTGAAATTAAAATATCGTAAGAATCGTTCGATAAATGTGTTCATATTGAGGGTAATAAGGTAAGTCACCTTTCGTCATTTATATTTTCTTAACACATGAATGAAATATGTCGTGTCATTTGAAAAATAAGAAATGTACAGCGATAGCAAATAGGAAACATCATGATGAACTAAGAGTCAAGAAAATTATAGCATCGTTATAATAAATCTTGTTGTTAAAATGCGATCATTCGATTATGCGGAATGTGGCTCGTAGATAAGATTTAAAAGTTATATGGAAAACGAAAGATAAGCTATATGAAAAAAGAAACGAAATATATTTTTAATAAGACATGTCACAAATAAATAATATGTATCCGCAGGCTAGGAACTTGTTAAAAGACTTTTAAAGAGAAAGAAAAAGAGAGAGAGAGAGAGAGAGAGAGAGAAAAGTATAGGATGAAGAGCCGACAGTTTCAACGAGACGAGACGTAAGTATCCGAGTTCGTGTGCTCCTTCGGCTCGACATCTATGACAGGATCGACGAGCTCGGAGGGCCTGCGGCCCCAGGAAACCTCACCTATTCCTACAAGAGATACATTGTTTTCTCACGATTCTTTCGTCGAGGAACGAAGTCAGCATCATCAGCCACGTCGAAAAATGACTCCATTACCACCGAGCGGTACGCCGATACAACTAACACCTCTTTGGGAACACGTGGTTCGTATCAGATACGTTTGCGTTCAATTAATTAATTTTCTTATTAAATGAAATCGGTCGGTCGTTAGAAAAATAAATAGGATGATCGAATAGGTTCGTACGAGAAGATTTCCCTCGGAAATCGATACACGATTGATATTCGTTGAGATATCGGAAAGATTGCGAGATCCAGAATGGGAAGTACGGCAGCACGCTCTTCGCGTTCTTATGGACGTGATGCCGACTCTGTCAAGCGAAATCGTCGACGAGGTAATGCAACCGGTGGTACCAGAATTGTTAAATAATTTAGGTCATGCAGCGCCGGCCGTTCGTAAAGGTGCCTTGGACGCTTTAAGAGTATACCTCGTACATAGTCTCGACAGAGAAAGGATCGTGAAAAATGTAAGAGGGAGATGATTGGAACGTTCAATGAACGAAATTGAATCAATTGATCGATTCTGATCGTTCGTACTTGTTTAGATATTTCGGGACGGTTTTAATCGACGAGACGTTCAGGATGTATTTCAAACGAATCTGATCACAGGAGTGATCCTCAGCGCACCATCCTTGCTATTCCCATCGTCTAGCGGTTCTCGTCCTAGCAAGGACATAGTCAAATACGTCACATTCTCTTTGGCCTCTCGTTTGACACAGGTCGCCTATCAGGAAGCTATTCTAAAGTCATTGATGAAGATTCGCGAGATTATAGGCGTCGGAGAATTCGACGACATCATTTCTGGTTGCGACGGTGAACTGAAAAAACATTTGGAAGTTCTCTGCAAGGTTTACAACGTGAAACCTAGCAAGAAGAGCCAAACGAAGATATCATTGGACAGGAAGGAAGTTAATAAATTAGATGATGAGGTTGGAAACCCTACTTGTGAAAAAATTTGGGATAGCGACAGTGATACGTCAGGGATTGCCGAAGAAGATGATGAAATTGTTAATGGAACTATGCCACCGGCTCGAGTGGTTTTGGAAACGGAAATAAAATTCAACGAAGAGACAGCCATAACTATGACCATTCTCGAAGAAAAAGCTATGAATAGCGAAGAGGACGAGGAGGGCGAAGAAAGTGGCACCGACGTAAGAAACGAAACTGAAATAACGAGCGAGCATAACGATAGAAGAAAAAAAACCCCTAGACGTGTACACTTTGGTGGTGAAATCGTTAAATTAAGGACACCCGATAGCGACGATACCGAATCGGTTGTCGTAGCTTCCTCGAAAACTAGGATACCCCTTCCAGTTTCTCCAGCCACAAAGATGCCATCGGAACGGCCACGTCGAAAATCTATATCGCAGCCCAACAGTCCTCATTTCGCTAGACGCAATACCAATAGAATGTCCAGATCGCTTTCCAGTAGTCCCAAGAGAGAAGTTTATACACATAATGCTGATCTAAGTCCAAAAAAGGGTATCCTTATGCGAACGAACAGTCCTCTTTTCGTTATCGAACCGATCGATCGTCACTATAATGATAACAGAGATAAACGTAATGATAAGTCCATAGAAATGTCGAGTCGATCGGGATCACCGAAATTAAATAACAACGACGACGAATCGAGTCGATCTATCGTTCGAGTAAATACCATTGAAGAACATTTCAATATCGAAGAATTGCCCGATGATATTAAGAATGAAAACGATCATCGAAAAGATAAAGAAGATTCGAAGAACGTTAAAGAAGACAAACGATTGTTTCGATCGTTCAGCGTTCCATCCATGAGATTGATAGAAAGTAATTACGAATCGAAAGATTTGCAGAGAATAAAATTTATCAAAGAGCAAGACAAAAATTTATCTTTTTCGAATAATACCGAAGAACATTTTTCGATAAACAATCAAGCTAATGTTATTGAACATGACAAAAGTGTTAACGATACGAAAATCAATAATAGGGCTATCTCTACGAACGAATCGAATCATGAGAATCTTGACGATGAACGATCGCTCGACGTTACTTCGAAAATCGATGAAAAGATGAAGGATAACGTTGGCATAGGTACTACGTCAGGATTAAAATCGAACGAACGTGAATCGACTAATGTCTTACGAAAGATTCATAGTTCGAAAACTTTCAAACGAGAACGTGATTCACGTTCGCCAACGAAGATAGTTGATTTCGAGAATATAGTCACTTCTCGTAAATATAATGAATCTGAAGAAATACGAAGAACTAAAACGATTCATGGAGTGGGAAATGAAAACTTGACGCGTGCTGGCGATGGCAAGAACGAGGGTAAATCACAGGAACCAAGTTGGGAAGAATTGGGATTGGTTAATCATGAAGTTTTGGATGACCTCCATAACAAGGTAAGAATTTTCAATGTTTTTATCAACGATATAAGTAGTATAATATGTTTAAATAAGATCTATATCGTAATATATCTAATTCGTAAATAAGATCTATATGATAATGAATATTTATTCTATGCAGTCATTAAAGTATCATCACTAGTTGGGCTGAAACCTTTAGGGTTTAGGATAGATCGTTCCGATACATTATTGTA